TTGTCAGCCAGTGAGAGACCACCATTCAGTTCCACTGAGCACCACTGTGGGGAACAGGCTGTCTGGGCTCCGGGTTAGCTAGAGAATACAGTATACTGCTTAACATGGAGCCTTCTCTTCTCTGTCTGTGTGTCCTAACAGCGCTCTGCACAGGAAGAAGCAGAGGACATTGAGAGGATCTTTACAGAGCTGATCCGCTCCCTTGAGAAAAGGCACTCAGAGGTGAAGGAGCTGATCAGAGCCCAGGCGAAGGCTCAAGTGAGTCATGCTGAAGGACTCCTGGAGCAACTAGAGCAGGAGATAGCTGAGCTAAAGAGGAATGACACTGAGCTGGAGCAGCTCTCACACACAGAGGATCACATCCATTTCCTCCAAGTAACTATATTGCAATTTGCCTTGTTACATGGAATATGACAAACAGTTTCTTCTGTCTGCAGTGTTTTAAAAGATAGTCATCTTAGAAAGGACAGATATATACATTCTATATTTGAGAATGTTTCTACATTCATTTATTTAATGTTGTCTCTGTCTTCTCTGTCTTACTCCAATCCTATCGTATCTTCTTCAGACTTACCCGCTATCGATGTTATTCCTCATCAGTACTTTGGAGGTGTGAGCGACGCTGTGTCTGAGCTGAGAGAGAAACTACAAGGCTTCCTTAAAGGAGAATGGACCAAGATCTCCAGCGCAGGTGGGTTAAATAATACAAAAATAATGCACATTGTAAAAACATCAACTTTAGACCAAAGGTCCCAGACTTAATATTATATGTGTGATATTGTAGGTAGGATGGTAACATTCCCCCTCTCTCTGTGAACATGTTTGTGTCTGCAGTGAATACAGTGGATGTTCTACTACCTCCAGAGCCCAAGACCAGAGAACAGTTATTACAATGTGAGTCTCTTCATCCTGACATAACTTACAATCTTTTTACTGACACTTCTCACAAACCCTCATATTGAATTATATAGTAATAGTAGATGTCGTCAAAAACTAGGTAGCTATCTGACTCCTGTACTGATTGGATCTCTGCTCTGCTCTAATCAAAGACAGGATACAGTATATTAGTATAGTATTATTCTCCCCTGGTCTCTGCTCTGCTCTTCTTCCAGATTCATGTCAGCTCACTCTGGACCCAAACACAGCACATTGCAACCTCTCTCTGTCTGATGGGAACAAAAAGATGACAGCTATACCATCCCATTCATATCCTGACCATCCAGACAGATTCACTAACCACTGCCAGGTGCTGTGCAGTGAGGGTCTGTCTGGACGATGTTACTGGGAGGTGGAGAAGAGTGGGCAAAATGTTTCTATAGCAGTCTCATATAAACATATTAAGAAAACAGGTGGTAATGACTCAGAATTAGTACTCAATGACAAGTCCTGGAGTTTACAGGGTTATCATAGTGGTTATCGTTTCAGACACAATAATGTTGAGATTAAAGTATCAGGCCCTCAGTCCTCCAGAGTAGGAGTGTACCTGGATCACAAGGCAGGTTATCTGTCCTTCTACAGTGTTTCTGGTACAATGAGGCTCCTCCATAGAGTCCAGACCACATTCACTCAGCCCCTCTATCCTGGGTTTTGTTTTGGTTATATTGGAGATACTGCAGAGCTGTGTAAGTTGTAGAGGTTGCCATACTAGAGAGATGCTTTATTATGTACTTTAACCCTGTGCAATTATTGCATTCTTTGATTTAAGATTATATCTTTAGTTTAGTTAATGTTTCAGTCTTGTACATTCACATTCATCTCAATGTATTCTCACTTTGATACACATGAATAAATACTGTACTGATATTTTTTATGGAACACAGTAGGCCTATTTTTATGGATTTCAACAAATTAAGACTGATTGTCTGGTCTTTTTATCCACTGATCCTTGGATTTGAATCTGTTAAAGGATATTTAAACTTTTTTAGACTTACTATATCTCTATTTTCCCACTTAACCTGAAAGTAGTCTATTGGGCCAGGATAAACTCTCATCTAGTCTTTGAGCCAACTGAAGCCAGTAACTAGAAAACAGTTGGAATGAATGGGGCTTTCAGACCAAGCTCACAATTGCATCAACTAAATAATGCAGGATTTGCATCAACTAAATAATGCAGGCTATGTATTACAACAGCAATGACTAGAGTTCACAATTACACTAATTGGAGCCGAGTTCCCTTTGCTCAGAGATGGTTCATAATGCAGGCTATGTTATTCTCATGCAGTGAAACAACATTGCCCCCTCCCAGTTCAGCGATTTCATTTAGTTGATTAAGACAATTAAAATAATAGGAGGGAATGGGGCACGCAGACCAAGTATACCACTTCGAAATGATTTGGCCAGAAATGTTCAACTTGACTTCACTCCTATTGTTGTTTTTTATCTCGATCCACTCAAAATGAAATCACTGAACCGGGAGGGGGAAAAGTTGTTTCACTGCAAGAGAACAACATAGCCTGCATTATGAACCATCTCTGAGCAAAGGAAACTCGGCTCCAGTTAGTGTGATTGTGAACTCTACATTTTTACATTTTTACATTTTAGTCATTTAGCAGACGCTCTTATCCAGAGCGACTTACAGTTAGTGAGTGCATACATTCTTTTATTTGTTTATTTTATTTTTATTCTTTTTTTATATATATATATATATTTTTTTCATACTGCCCCCCCGTGGGTATCGAACCCACAACCCTGGCGTTGCAAACGCCATGCTCTACCAACTGAGCTACATCCCTGCCGGCCATTCCCTCCCCTACCCTGGACGACGCTGTGCCAATTGTGCGCCGCCCCATGGGTCTCCCGGTCGCGGCCGGCTACGACAGAGCCTGGATTCGAACCAGGATCTCTAGTGGCACAGCTAGCACTGCGATGCAGTGCCTTAGAACACTGCGCCACTCAAAACTCTAGTCATTGCTGTTGTAATACTACACAGAACATTGGTGTGAGATGTGCTTCAGTGTGTGAAAACTCAACCATAAGCCTGACTCATACTGAACATGCAACATTCAATCTCTTATTTCAAGATAATAGTCAAACACATTACATACGATTGTATCTCCACACCACTTGGTTATTTTTTAGCCCTTTTTTATTAATATCATAATCATTTAACATAGTTATGACCTTTTTTATGAAAATAGTTCATTAGAAAGACATTTCCATTAAAAAGTTCAGCGACTACTTCTGGGTCCTCCATTCATACAGTCTTTATTTCTGCACTTGCATACAGTCCAATCATCTGTGGTTTGAATTATCTAACGTGAGAGTGGGAGTGTGTGTGTGTGTGTCCATGGTCTCGCTTCTGGCCAATCAGAAATGAAGGGTGAACGGGAACAGGCAACTTATCAACCAGTAGTTTAAGGTTTTTCAGACGTGGGGCGGAACATTTCTTTTCTGAGGGGGTGGGGTTGGGACAAAGTACTTTTTTTTTTTTCATCCCTCCATGAACTCTTGCACTTTTTTTTCACTAACGGGGGAGGAATCACCTAAACCTTGTTACTGGTGATTCAAGTGACGCCCCTGACACGCTCCTCCTGATTCGTGTGCTTGTCAATCAATTGGTGCTCTTGGTTGAGCTTGGGCGGCGTGCCGGTAGACAGAGATCCAGCTTTGGGGCCAACAGAATGACCCAAGAGTGCCCAATCCGATGTAATTTAAGCGCACTTATTGTAAAAGGGTGTCTTTTTATTGTATATGTTTACCACAGGAGGTTGGTGGCACCTTAATTGGGGAGGACGGGCTTGTGGTAATGGCTGGAGCGGTGTGAGTGGAATGGTATCAAATACAAACACATGGTCTCCATGTGTTTGATGCCATTCCATTTGCTCCATTCCAGCCATTATTATGAGCCGTCCTCCCCTCAGCAGCCTCCACTGATGTTTACAAACGCAATACTCCTTTTTCAATATTTCATTACTCTATATTCATAGATTAACCTACTAAAGTCAAAGGCAGTGTGAATTGACATAGCACTGTAAAATAAAATGTATAAAATATTTTCATGGCACAACTCCTAACATAAACATGGATGAATATGAATTGGTAAGTTATGTTACATCACAACAATGTTTGTTAGTTTGAATGGTATTATGTTGCATGAAGGAGGCCATTGTACAGGTTTTATCACATATTTTATTTATAGTCACAGTAGTCCAAACTGCTACATGAACAGTGTTCATTTTACACATTCAGCTTCAGGAAGAAAACAAAATAAAAACAAATATATAATATTGCCCCTCAAAAATGTGCCATATAATGTACTGTATTTGATGAGGTATTTTGAATCATTGTGACCAAGTCAAGGGCCTGTACAGAGATATAGATAGACAGAGATCCGCATAAGGCACCAAGCAAAGATACCATGAAACAACACTCTAACTTGTTTTATGGGAGTTTGAGCCTCTGTGTCATTAGTTTAAGTTCAAGTTCAATTTGAACTGGCACACATTAGCTATGTTTGGTAGAGCATGGCGCTTGCAACGCCAGGGTTGTGGGGGCCAGTATGAAAATATATGCACTCACTAACTGTAAGTCGCTCTGGATAAGAGCGTCTGCTAAATGACTAAAATGTAAATGTAAATGTTGGTGTGATACATACAGATGTAGGATCTTAATTTGATCACACTTTTGTTGCCGGGAATTTTCCTGCAAATCAGGAAATGCAAGTTTGTAGTGTATTTGAGCCTAAAATTTTTTGTAATTTCCACTTTTCAGACTTGATTTTCCCTAACGAAAAATTTATCAACCCCTACAAACATTTCCATTAATTATAATCCACATAATAATTAACATTACCTGTTGCTGCAGGATTAATTTCCTGCTATAATTAGATACAAATTAAGATCCTACATCTGTAGGGGCCCTTTACATGTTGGCAGGTGTGACAGATAGGCAACAAATTGTCTGGGTGGTAATTAAAAGGTTATGGCTTGGCTGTAGGCTAGGGTTGCAGGGCTAGGAGTTAGCTGTATAGTTGCTGGGGCTAAACAGTGTGGTAGTTGGGGCTAAACAGTGTGGTAGTTTGGGGTATCACTATCACTGCTGATGATGAGAGGTTCCCTCTCTGGTAGGTGGAATGCTGAACTCTTCTCCCCGCGTTGCCATGGCCACGCACCCCAACACACCCGGGTCGTAGTCACAGCTATCACAGCCACAATCATGGCAACCAGGGCCCCCAGGACCAACGCCCCTAGCAACCAGGGCCACGCCTCCATCATCAGCTCCAGGTAAGGACTGAGAACCTCCGATATCCTCTGATCTGGAGGGGAGGAGAGAGTGATGAGAAGAGGATGAACGGAGAGGAGGGGGAGGGGAGAGGAGAGGAGAAGAGAAGAGAAGAGGAGAGCAAGAGAAGAGGAGAGCAAGAGAGGGGAGGGGGGAGGGGAAGAGAGGGGAGGGGGGAGGGGAGACAGAGGAGAGTAGAGGAGAGGAGGAGTCCTTTACAATCCTTCAGCACACACACACACTGACCCTCACACACAGTACTTACCTGAGTCGAGCATGTAGGAGTATTCGTACCCCAATTCTTTGCTGGAGGTGAAGTATTCTATGTTCCTGTGTAGAGGTAGGAAGGGCACCATGTGGTACTGCCTGTTGTGGCCGATGGGAGTATTGAACTCTGGGTAGTGGGTCTGCTCTGGAGCATGTCTCCTCAACCACTGCTCACAGATACTGAAGAGAGAGAGAGAGAGAGATTTATGTTATGTTATCCCATTTGTACTTTAACTATTTGCACATTGTTACAACACTGTATATATACATAATATTACATTATAATGTCTTTATTCTTTTGGAACTTCTGAGTGTAATGTTTCCTGTTAATATTGATTGTTTATTTCACTTTTGTTTACTATCTACTTCACTTGCTTTGGCAATGTTAACATACAGTGGGGGAAAAAAGTATTTAGTCAGCCACCAATTGTGCAAGTTCTCCCACTTAAAAAGATGAGAGAGGCCTGTAATTTTCATCATAGGTACATGTCAACTATGACAGACAAAATGAGAAAAAAAATCTAGAAAATCACATTGTAGGATTTTTAATGAATTTATTTGCAAATTATGGTGGAAAATAAGTATTTGGTCAATAACAAAAGTTTCTCAATACTTTGTTATATACCCTTTGTTGGCAATGACACAGGTCAAACGTTTTCTGTAAGTCTTCACAAGGTTTTCACACACTGTTGCTGGTATTTTGGCCCATTCCTCCATGCATATCTCCCCTAGAGCAGTGATGTTTTGGGGCTGTCGCTGGGCAACACGGACTTTCAACTCCCTCCAAAGATTTTCTATGGGGTTGAGATCTGGAGACTGGCTAGGCCACTCCAGGACCTTGAAATGCTTCTTATGAAGCCAATCCTTCGTTGCCCGGGCGGTGTGTTTGGGATCATTGTCATGCTGAAAGACCCAGCCACGTTTCATCTTCAATGCCCTTGCTGATGGAAGGAGGTTTTCACTCAAAATCTCACGATACATGGCCCCATTCATTCTTTCCTTTACACGGATCAGTCGTCCTGGTCCCTTTGCAGAAAAACAGCCCCAAAGCATGATGTTTCCACCCCCATGCTTCACAGTAGGTATGGTGTTCTTTGGATGCAACTCAGCATTCTTTGTCCTCCAAACACGACGAGTTGAGTTTTTACCAAAAAGTTATATTTTGGTTTCATCTAACCATATGACATTCTCCCAATCCTCTTCTGGATCATCCAAATGCACTCTAGCAAACTTCAGACGGGCCTGGACATGTACTGGCTTAAGCAGGGGGACACGTCTGGCACTGCAGGATTTGAGTCCCTGGCGGCGTAGTGTGTTACTGATGGTAGGCTTTGTTACTTTGGTCCCAGCTCTCTGCAGGTCATTCACTAGGTCCCCCCGTGTGGTTCTGGGATTTTTGCTCACCGTTCTTGTGATCATATTGCAGATTCAGTCTTCCCAGCCTGGTGCAGGTCTACAATTTTGTTTCTGGTGTCCTTTGACAGCTCTTTAGTCTTGGCCATAGTGGAGTTTGGAGTGTGACTGTTTGAGGTTGTGGACAGGTGTCTTTTATACTGATAACAAGTTCAAACAGGTGCCATTAATACAGGTAGTATACTGGAGGACAGAGGAGCCTCTTAAAGAAGTTGTTACAGGTCTGTGAGAGCCAGAAATCTTGCTTGTTTGTAGGTGACCAAATACTTATTTTCCACCATAATTTGCAAATAAATTCATTACAAATCCTACAATGTGATTTTCTGGATTTCTTTTTCTCAATTTGTCTGTACCTATGATGACAATTACAGGCCTCTCTCATCTTTTTAAGTGGGAGATCTTGCACAATTGGTGGCTGACTAAATACTTTTTTTCCCCACTGTACGTTTCCCATGCCAATAAAGCCCTTAAATTGAATTGAATTGAATTGAGAGAAGTGTGTGTGTGCATGTGTGCATGTGTATTTGTGTGTGTGTGTGCTAACCTGTCTACGTAGGCGTGGTGCAGTAGGAAAATAGGGTCGTTAGCTGACCCCTGGACTGAAGACATGGAGCCGTTCATGAAGATATGAAGAGAGGCGTGCATGCCCATCACCCTACTGTTACCCAGGCCTGTCTGAGGGTTCCCAAAACCTAGAGGTCAGGGGTCAGAGGTCAGGGGTTAGAGGTCAGAATTCAACACCAGGGTTAGGGTTAGAACAACGCTCTCTAGAGTGTTCTACAGTTGAAGTTGGAAGTTTACATACACCTTAGCCAAATACATTTATTTTCACAGTTCCTCACATTTAATCCTAGTAAAAATTCCCTGTTTTAGGTCAGTTAGGATCACCACTTTATTTTAAGAATGTGAAATGTCAGGATAATAGTAGAGAGAATGATTTATTTCAGCTTTTATTTCTAACATCACATTCCCAGTGGGTCAGAAGTTAACATACACTCAATTAGTATTTGGTAGCATTGCCTTTAAATTGTTTAACTTGGGTCAAACGTTTCGGGTAGCCTTCCACAAGCTTCCCACAATAAGTTGGGTGAATTTTGGCCCATTCCTCCTGACAGAGCTGGTGTAACTGAGTCAGGTTTGTAGGCCTCCTTGCTCGCACACGCTTTTTCAGTTCTGCCCACAAATGTTCTATAGGATTGGGGTCAGGGCTTTGTGATGGCCACTCCAATACCTTGACTTTGTTGTCCTTAAGCCATTTTGGCACAACTTTGGAAGTATGCTTGGGGTCATTGTCCATTTGGAAGACCTATTTGCGACCAAGCTTTAACTTCCTGACTGATGTCTTGAGATGTTGCTTCAATATATCCACATAATTTTCCTTCCTCATGATGCCATCTATTTTGTGAAGTGCACCAGTCCCTCCTGCAGCAAAGCACCCCCACAGCATGATGCTGCCACCCCTGTGCTTCACGGTTGGGATGGTGTTCTTCGGCTTGCAAGCCTACCCCTTTTTCCTCCAAACATAACGATGGTCATTATGGCCGAACAGTTCTATTTTTGTTTCATCAGACCAGAGGACATTTCTCCAAAAAGTATGATCTTTGTCCCCATGTGCAGTTGCAAACCGTAGTCTGGCGGTTTTGGAGCAGTGGCTTCTTCCTTGCTGAGCGGCCTTTCAGGTTATGTCGATATAGGACTCGTTTTACTGTGGATATAGATACTTTTGTACCTGTTTCTTCCAGCATCTTCACAAGGTCCTTTGCTGTTGTTCTGGGATTGATTTGCACTTTTCGCAACAAAGTACGTTCATCTCTAGGAGACAGAACGTGTCTCCTTCCTGAGCGATATGACGGCTGCATGGTCCCATGGTGTTTATACTTGCGTACTATTGTTTGTACAAATGAACGTGGTACCTTCAGGCATTTGGAAATTGTTCCCAATGATGAACCAGACTTGTGGAGGTATACAATTTATTTTTCTGAGCTCTTGCCGGATTTCTTTTGATTTTCCCATGATGTCAAGCAAAGAGGCACTGAGTTTGAAGGTAAGCCTTGAATTACATCCACAGCTACACCTCCAATTGATGCAAATGATGTCAATTAGCCTATCAGAAGCTTTTAAAGCCATGACATCATTTTCTGGAATTTTCCAAGGCACAGTCAACTTACTGTATGTAAACGTCTGACCCACTGGAATTGTGATACAGTGAATTCTAACTGAAATAATCTGTCTGTAAACAATTGTTGGAAAAATGACTTGTGTCATGCACAAAGTAGATGTCCTAACGGACTTGCCAAAACTATAGTTTGTTTTCAAGAAATTTGTGGAGTGGTTGAAAAATGAGTTTTAATGACTCCAACCTAAGTGTATGTAAACTTCCGACTTCAACTGTAGAACTACTGACTCTAGAGAACTAATAACACAAACACACACACAGACACACACACACACACACACACACAATCACAAAAACACCCCTACTTACCTTCCAGTGTGTTTCTGAAGCTGAAGTTTGCGGAGCGGTCCATGGCTCCCGTGTCATAGTCACGGAGACTGACAGTGAACTCCACCTCTGCTGCCGTCGGCAACCGCGCAACCAAGTTATGGTTGTGGTTGCCAGGGTTACGCAGCAACGTCCCCTCGTCGCTACCATCACACAGCACACCCCTCACACTGTAGTCTTCCGACCGCGAACACATCACCTACACAAACACACACACACACATATACACACACACACAAAAACCGATTGAATCAGGATGACTGCATGCCACATGATTGTGTAAAGCCTAGGCCTAAGCATTAAAGTAACTGTTCAGTGAAAATCTAACTTTTAAAATTCTGTTAACTCATACCCAAATTATGTTGTTGACTCATCTTATACTTGTATTTGTGGCCAAAGCATAAATTGGAGAAAAAACACATTAAAAAAACCCACCTCAAACTTGTATCTCAAACAGATCGTTGAAAAAATGCTTGCTATTTCCTGAGGAGGATGAGCTGGCCAATCAGTGGTCTACTTGCATTAATATTTGTAATGACTGGTATACGCCCACACCATTCTGTTGTTGGGCTACGTACGCCCACACCATTCCAACACAGAAAAATTGCTTTTTAACTTCCTTAATTACAATTTTTTGAAGGAAAACTATTTGACTCAGATTGGAATTAATTATAGGTCATATTTAATAGAAATATTGAAACTTGGGGAGCTAACTGTCACGACTCCCTCCGAAGCTGCCACCTCTCCTTGTTCGGGCAGGCTTCTGCGTTCGTCGTCACCAGCCTTCTAGCCACTGCCGCTCCTCATTTCATCATTCCATTGGTTTTGTCTTGTTCATTACACACACCTGGTTCATATCCCCTCATCAGTACCAGTATAAGTGTTCCCTCTGCCCCCTTGTCTTTGTGTGTGATTGTTTATTGTGAGGATAGTGAAGCTCGGTTGAGCTCCTTGTAGTTTGTATTGCCGGGTCATTTTCCCTGTGTGCCTTGTTGGGTTCCAGTGCGCCTGTTTTGCGCACTGGACTGTTTTGACGCATTACTGCATAACTCTGTATTTCAGAATAAATCCTGTTATTCTGTGATTTACCCTCCTGCGCTTGACTCCTTCAAATCACCCATCACAGAATCACACACCCACCATGGAGTCAGCAGGAGAGGAGCACATGCCTGGAGTCGTGGCACGGGTCCGGGAGCATTAGACGATGCTAGCCAGCTTGGGAGAAGCGATGGATCGGGTTCTCCAGGTCGTCCAACGCCTGGAGAGGAGAGGACCCGATCTGTCGGGACTAGCTGGGCGACCGGATCCAGCCACCCACACCCCAGCACCCAGAGGGATCCATATATCCCGACCACGGGATTTCGACCGGACAGCTGCTCTCTGCCAGGGATTCCTCCTACAACTGGAGTTATATTATTCGAAGATCAGCCGGGCTCCATCGGAGCGGGAGAAGGTGTCCACCCTCGTCTCCTGCCTCTCGGGGAAAGCCCTGGAGTGGGCCAACGCAGTCTGGAGTGAAGGAGGAGCCACGTTGGACAACTACGGGGAGTTTGCTTGCCTCTTTCGGGCCGTCTTCGATCACCCGCCCGACGGTAGAGAGGCGGGCGAGCAGCTGGTCCACCTGAGGCGGGCCCTCATTGACCACATCCGGTGCCATCTACGAGAAGACGTCCGAAGGGAGCTAGCCTGCCGGGACACCATGTTGTCCTTCAATCAACTGGTGGACATGGCCATCCGGTTGGACAACATGCTGGCTGCTCGAGGACGTCCTGGAAGGTGCCTGCCCGATCCACCCCCCCCCCCCAAACCTGGATCACAAGCTGATGGAGCTGGGTGGAGCGGCAATCCGAGAGAGCGGAGGACGACAGCGCCAGTGTCACTCTAGTGGCACGAGAAGACATTCTCCTGCACGCTGTCATCTGCGTTCTTTTGGGTCTGGAGGCGGCAGGCAGGGCACTCTTGCGTCACCCCAGGTATCGAACACCCACACTCGTTCAGAGCCCTCTGCTGCACACTGTACCCTACCCATCCACTTTCCTGATTACACAGTAGTTCCCCAGTGTAAGGCGCTGGTCGATTCAGGCGCAGCTGGGAACTTTATGAACAGGTCATTTGCACATAGTCTAGGCATTACATTGGTTCCCCTATCCATTCCACTCCCCATCAGAGCACTTCACAGTCAACCACTAGGGTCTGGGTTCGTTAGGGAAGTTACAGCACCAGTCACTATGGTTACGCATGAGACTCATAGAGAGCAAGTCACCTTTTTATTATTGAGTTTCCTGATTTCCCTGTTGTGTTAGATCTTCCCTGGTTAGCACTACACAACCCCATCTTTTCATGGCCGCAGAGGGTTCTCACGTGGTGGTCGCGAGAGTGTCAGGGTAGGTGTCTAGGTGTTTCCGTTGGTGCAACCACGGTGGAAGGTCCAGACATACCTCCACCGTGCAAATTCCCCCCGGATACCTCAATTTGGCGCACACATTTTCCAAAACGCAGGCAACCAAATTACCACCTCATCGGGCTGGGGATTGCGCGATAAACCTCCGGGTAGACGCTGTGCCTCCCAGGAGTCATGTGTATCCCCTGTTGCAGGCTGAAACGGAGGTGATGGAGACATATGTCTCCGAGTCCCTTCATCAGGGGTTCATACGTCCCTCCACTTCGCCCGCCTCCTCGAGTTTCTTTTTTGTGAAGAAGAAAGAAGGAGGTCTGCGCCCTTGCATTGATTACCGAGCACTGAACAAGGGGACAATACATTATAGTTATCCTCTACCCCTCATTCCATCTGTGATCAAGTCAATGCATGGGGCGCGCTTCTTCACAAAATTAGATCTCCGGAGTGCGTACAACCTGGTGCGTGTCCGAGAGGGGGACAAGTGGAAAACAGCATTCAGCACAACAACGGGGCATTACGAATACCTGGTGATGCCGTACAGTTCGATGAATGCTCCATCAGTCTTCCAGTCCTTTGTGAACGAGGTGTTTCTGGACATGCTTGGTCGCGGTGTAGTGGTCTACATCGATGACATTCTGGTGTATTCCGCTACGCGCGCCAAGCATGTGTCCCAAGCAAAGTGCTGGCCCGACTGTTGGATCATGACCTTTATGCCAAGGCAGAAAAGTGTCTGTTTTTCCAACAGTCCGTCTCCTTCCTCGGATACCGCATTACCACCTCAGGTGTGGAGATGGAGGGAAATCGCATTTCAGCCATGCGTAATTGGCCAACTCCAACCACGGTTAAGGAGGTGCAGCGCTTTATTGGCTTTGCTAACTACTATTGGAGGTTTATCCGGGGCTTTGGCAAAGTCGCAGCTCCCATTACATCTCTGTTGAAGGGTGGGCCGTCCCGGCTCCGCTGAGGCTGACAGGGCCTTCAGTAACCTGAGGGTTCTGTTCACCTCAGCCCCATCCCGATCCATCACTACCGTTTGTAGTGGAGGTGGATGCGTCTGAGGTAGGGATAGGCACTGTCCTATCTCAACACTCAGGCACGCTACCCAAGCTCCGCCCCTGTGCCTTCTTCTCAAAGAAGCTCAGCCTGGCGGAGCAGAACTACGACGTGATAAACGTGGTTACATATAGGTTATTACTCCCTCCAGATTACCGTATTAACCCCTAGTTCCATGTGTCTCTCCTCAGGCCGGTGGTGGCTGGTCCGCTCCAGGAGTCTGAGGTGCGGGAGGTTCCTCCGCCCCCTCTGGACATCGAGGGGGCCCCGGCATTCTCCGTCCGTTCCATCCTGGATTCGAGGCGTCGGGTGAGGGGCCTTCAGTACCTCGTGGAGTGGGAGGGGTACGGTCCGGAGGAACGGTGCTGGGTTCCGGTGAGGGATATCCTCGATCCCTCCCTATTGCTGGATTTCCACCGTCACCATCCGGCTCGCCCTGCTCCGCGTCCTCCTGGCCGTCCTACTGTCACGACTCCCTCCGAAGCTGCCACCTCTCCTTGTTCGGGCAGGCTTCGGCGTTCGTCGTCACCAGCCTTCTAGCCACTGCCACTCCTCATTTCATAATTCCATTGGTTTTGTCTTGTTCATTACACACACCTGGTTCATATCCCCTCATCAGTACCTGGTATAAGTGTTCCCTCTGCCCCCTTGTCTTTGTGTGTGATTGTTTATTGTGAGGATAGTTAAGCTCAGTTGAGCTCCTTGTATTTTGTATCGCCGGGTTATTTTCCCCGTGTGCCTTGTTAGTTCCAGTGCACCTGTTTTGCGCACTGGTCTGTTTTGACGTCTGCGTAACTCTGTATTCCGGAATAAATCCTGTTATTCTGTGATTTACATTTACATTTTAGTCATTTAGCAGACCCTCTTATCCAGAGCGACTTACAGTTAGTGAACACATTTTTTTTTTTTTATACTGGCCTCCCATGGGAATCGAACCCACAACCCTGGCGTTGCAAACGCCATGCTCTATCAACTGAGCTACATCCCTGCCGGCCATTCCCTCCCCTACCCTGGACGACGCTGGGCCAATTGTGCGCCGCCCATGAGTCTCCCGGTCGCGGCCGGCTGCGACAGAGCCTGGATTCGAACCAGGATCTCTAGTGGCACAGTTAGCACTGCGATGCAGTGTCTTAGACCACTGCGCCACTCAGGAGCTACCCTCCTGCGCCTGACTCCTTCAAATCACCCATCACACTAACACACTTCAGATCTCAGGCACAGAACCACCTCCGAACTACACAAACCACACACACACACCATATAAAAGCCATTCATTTTACTCAGAGAGTTAGAGAAAGCAGTAGTGATGGAGTTATGTAGAAGGTAATACAACTGATAATGATGATCTATGAGCCTGTATGGCTTCTTTCAGTGTGTGTGTGCTAATCACAGAACATGGCCTCTGGCAGAAACACAAGGTAGTCAGACAGTCTCCTGATCACCACCCTCCTCTCCCCCTCTTCTCTTTTCTCCTATCCTTCTCCCTCCTCTCTCCTCCACTTCCTCTCCTCTCCTCTCCCCACCCTCTTCTCCTATCCTCTTCTCTCCCCAGTCCTCTCCTCTCCTTTCCTCTCTTCTCCCGATTGCCTCTCGTCTCCTCCTCCGATCCTCTCCCATTCCTCTCCTCTCTTCTCCTCTCCCCAGTCCTCTCCTGTCCTGTCATATCCTCTCTCCTCCTCTCATTTCCTCTCCCCAGTCCTCTCCTATGCTCCACCCCTCCTCCCTCCTATCTAGGTTACAGGGGAGCTCAACAATGATAGTATATCATCACAGTATTCATTCAAGTCATCACATGAAAAGTAATAAAGAAAAGTTCAATTATTAAAATGTCTATTCACATTTTGTGAGTTGAGAAGCATACACTTTCTGGTTGATTACATCTCAATAGTCTAAAGTGTACTCTTCTCCTCCTCCTCTCCTCTCCAGACCTCCCCTACCCATCAATTAAAATGCAACACTTTGGAGACTATTTTGAACTTCTAAGAACAATGCCAAGGTGCCAGTGAGAGTGAGAGGAAGGGAGAAGAAAACAGGTAGGCAGGAGGGGTGAAGACAAATGAGAGAGGAAGATGATGGAAGAGACAGGAAGAGGAAAAAAAGGTGTCTCACCCTCCAAGAAGAGAACACTGAAGCAGGGCTGATGAGGTTGGGGTCTCTCGGGCTCCGGGCGCCCATCAGGTCGTCGGTGCAGACGTCACAGCCCTGCGCGTCCCGCCAATCCCAGTACGGGATGGAGAACTCAAAGTCCCCGGTCAGTTTCCTGATCTCGCGCTCCCAGTGCAGCAGGTACACACGGTGCCATGGCAGAAAAGCGGGAGCCCAGTGGGCGAAGTCCACATCGGTCCAGACATTCCCCGGTCCACCAAGAAGAGCATTCCTGGAGACATAGTAGTGCATCCACACAAACAGGTCATAGATCGAGACGTCAGAGAACAGCGGGTTGGTCCCGTTATTCATCTCCCGGTATGTCCCGGTGGCTATGAGGTAATCCTGGCTGACGGTGTGCTTGGCCAGGTTGAGGTAAGAGACTAGTTTCCGCCGTTCCGCCGCCGACAGGTGAAACACGTTCCGCCGCACGGACTCTCTCCTCTCCTCACAGTTAGCCCCAAACAGCCCGAACTGGCACTCTCCGCAGTTGAACCCCATGTAGTTGGAGGCGCACTGGCAGGTCCGGTTATAAAAGACCAGAGGCCACCTCTCTCTGTCGTCCAAGCCGGAGAAGGGGTAATTCAGCCCGTTAGGGAGATCCGATACCTCCACGTCCCGGCAGAACCCCCTGCCAGAGCTGGCCCCGCAGGCCGAGCCATCCCCCTCCCAGACCAGGCAGCACTCTTTAGAGAGCAGGGACTCCGCTGTGGCGCAGAGCCTGGGAAACTGCTGCTGGGAGAACCACACACACTGGAGGAAAAACACACCGTGGAGGAGCAGGAGCCGCATCGCAACACTTCACCACATACACCAACACACACACCTGTCACACACACACCAGCACAGTGATGTGACTGAGTGTCATGGAGAGAGGAGTTGGTAAGTAGAAGTGAGAGAAGGGGAAACCCATGTAGCTAGTCCAGCCATATCAGAGTCCCTGCGGGAGCCACATCTCCTCCCTCACCCCCCCCCCCCCCCCCCCCCCCCCCCCTCACCCGCAGTCCCCCTCTCTGGCCCGGCTGTCACATGCCTCATGACCCCACCAGTGAGCTTGTTTCATGTGCAGCTGGTTCCCTGAACACACACATACCGATGGTGTTTCTCACACATTCTGATGGACTAACCATCTGATCTAATTTATTTAATTACACTGCAGGTTTCAGGGAAGGTCTTTAAGGGGTGAATAAATATAGAAAAAGCATATACATTTTATTTATTTTATCACAAAAGCACTAGCCTACAGGTTTCAGTGAAGGCAATTGAAATGTGACTTTATAAAAAGGATTACATTTTGGTTTCTTAAGGTTTCATAAATTCATAAAAGCTGAGTTTTGATGATACTGTGCTTCACTGCAAGTTTCATAACCACAGAGTTATGTTGTCATTATGAAAGTGTTTTCACGTTTCTCCTTTTATAATCCGTTCTGGTATTTCCCTGCGTAAAGGCTGAGCAGCCAGGCGAAGCCAGGAACTCTCATAGCATAGATTAGAAACCATTACAGCCAGGGGTCTAGCCAACGTGGGGAACATAGAATGTGAATTATAGAAAATATTAGCCTACATTTTTGTTTTTTGTTTTTTGTTTGCTTACATTTTTGTTTTACATCGACTAGGCTATAAACCAGATTTTCCCATTTTCCCCTCAAACAAAATAGTCTCCGTTCAGAAGACACGCTGTTATAGAGAGTAATAGGAGGAAAGTAATCTGGACAAGCATATTAATTTATGATTCATGATGGTGAATAAATCAGAAATTAAATGTCTCAGCACATTATCACATTTGAGTTCCTTATTATTCGTTTTATTCAGACACTTTGTGTGAGAAAAAAAAGTCTTAATACAATATCGTTGAAGAAAGATTCTTTAAAAAATGTTTTAGGCCTAATGATAAAATGTGCTGTCTAGGAAAAGAAATGCATCGAAAACTCCAATCAAAACGTAATTCCTTCCAATTCCACCCACTGTGACCCACAGGCAATCACAATAATTTCATTTTAGTAGTTTTTTCTAAACCCCTCGCCTGTAAATTCCTAGTTAAAGCCAAGCACAGGTTTCTAACACTGATCCACGTACGTAGCCTATATGTGTCGATAGCAGGATTATATTGTCCCACCCACCACAGCATATACCTCTCTCTGCCTGGGAACGCGCATCACAGGACCATCACGCGACCGCGGTGTTAAGCGAGTCGTCCGCTCGAGACAACACTAAATGCCTTTATGGTCCAAACCCTGTCTATGCACAATGGTATAGGCTATATATATATAAAATCCTGCACTCGGTAAAATGTAAAGATGAACAGAGTCATAACAGTTGAGTTAAGGGGCGTCATGCACCCCAAAAATCTGAGGGGGCACAAAGTGTGAGGCGGGAGGGTGGTCAGCTGTCTGGAAATTGGATAATTACACCAGAAAAAGCATATTCCTGCAATCTAGAGCCATAATCATTATGCTTAATTCTATGTTTACATTTTTTTATATTTTTCTGCATATCCAAGCATACCTCTTGAGCTGTCTGTATCCTCCTGACTAGTGTCTCTTTTTTTTAAAGAAACTCAATCTACTTCTCTGTATCTCTGCTAAAATCTGGGTGAAAGATTGAAAGTAATGTGAGTCTTATTCAGTACATTTAGTTATTGCTTGCTTTTCTAAAGTCTACGAACCTATCTGATCTAGCTAAAGCCAACTTTGCTAAAATTGCTAGGTGGCTAGTAGGAGGCCTATTAAAAAAGAACAATATTTACAGGACAAATATGAGGAGGCACGTGCCTCTGTGCCCCCTATGGGCATGTTGCCTCTGGTTGAGTTGACAGAAGGGACATGTAAAACTCTGAACCATTGACCAGGTTTTGGCTCGAGGCCTCATTCTGAGATTACAGCCTTTTTATAGATGGCAATGGATGAAATAGACACCTTCTGGGATGCATACCTTCTATTTGACTCCCAGCAAAATTAATAGCTTTTTAACAGTAAAAAAAACCCCTGTTATTTAGGTCTATTTGAAATGTTGCACGATGAAATCTCTTAAGATGCACCATCTCGTTTTCAAGTGTCCAAATAAAAGAGAAAAAAACTATACTTAGTAGATTCCGTATGTCAAGTATTGTCTAATAATTATGACAATAATAATACAAAACACACACACACTTTATAGAACTATGCTTGCTTAATGAGTACCGCTTCCCCCTGATTCAGTTCATACCAAGACTCAACCTCTGCCTCGCAAACACACGTGACCTCCCTGCTGAAGTGTTCCAACCCACCGTGCGAATTAAAAAGGCGTTCTTCAAATGCACAAGGGGTGACACTTTAGGCTGATGAGTGAGTTGCACAGCTCCACAGAAAGTGATGTTGTTGTGCAGTAGGCCTGATTTTGAACCCAGTCCATTGTATTGGTGCCGTGATCTCTGAGTATGAGGTCAAAGGGAGGTGAAATGTAACTGAGGTGGTTTGATGAACCATGCTCTTGGAGATGAGTAACCTTGTTGGAGACTGAAGACTTGTGTTAGCTTCCTGCATTCATCCCTATGCGCTTTAGCTAAATGGGCTAACACAGTCTTGTGACATTACATTTACATTTACATTTACGTCATTTAGCAGACACTCTTATCCAGAGCGACTTACAAATTGGTGCATTCACCCTATAGCCAGTGGGATAACCACTTTACAATTTTTTTGTTTTGTTTTTCTGTATTTTTTTTGTTATTTTTTTTAGGGGGGGGGGGGGGGTAGAAGGATTACTTTATCCTATCCCAGGTATTCCTTAAAGAGGTGGGGTTTCAAATGTCTCCGGAAGGACATGAAGGAGGCCTGTTTTGAACCCAGTCAGTCACAAGAGCAAGATTAAATAGGCAGTGGAATGACTGTCCTTAGAAGGGCTATGACAGGGCTATTCAACCACTGAACAAAAATATAAACTCAACATGTAAAGTGTTGGTCCCATGTTTCATGAGCTGAAATAAAAGATCTCAGAAATGTTCCATACTCACAAAAAGCGTATTTCTCTCAAATGTTTGGCACAAGTGTGTTTACATCCCTGTTAGTGAGCATTTCTCCTTTGCCAAGACAATCCATCCATCTGACAGGTGTGGCATATCAAAAAGCTGATTAAACAGCATGATCATTACACAGGTGCATCTTGTGCTGGGGACAATAAAAGGCCACTCTAAAATGTGCAGTTTTGTCACACAACACAATGCCACAGATGTCTCATGAATTGCCATGCTGACTGCAGGAATGTCCACCAGAGCTGTTGCCAGAGAATTTAATGTTCATTTCTCTACCATATGCCGCCTCCAGCGTCATTTTAGAGAATTTGGCAGTATGTCCAACCGGCCTCACAACCGCAGACCACGTGTAACCACGCCAGCCTTAAGACCTTCACATCCGGCTTCTTCACCTGCGGGACTGTCTGAGACCAGCCACCTGGACAGCATGATAAAACTGTGGGTTTGCACAACCAAAGAATCTCTGCACAAACAGTCAGAAACCGTCTCAGGGAAGCTTAGAGAACGCTGGAGAAATGTGCTCTTCACGGATTAATCCCGGTTTCAACTGTACCAGGCAGATGGCAGACAGCGTGTATGGCGTCATGTGGGCGAGCGTTTTGCTGATGTCAACATTGTGAACAGAGTGCCCCATGGTGGCGGTGGGGTTATGGTATGGGCAGGCATAAGGTATGGACAACGAACACAATTGCATTTTATCGATGACAATTTGAATGCACAGAGATACCGTGGGGAGATCCTGAGACCCATTGTCGTGCAATTCATCCGCCGCCATCACCTCATGTTGGAACATGATAATGCATGGCTCTGTACACAATTCCTGGAAGCTGAAAATGTCCAAGTTCTTCCATGGCCTGCATACTCACCGAACATGTCACCCATTGAGCATGTTTTGGATGCTCTGGATCGACGTGTTCGACAGCGTGTTCCAGTTCCCGCCAATATCCATCAACTACTGTATCTGTGACCAACAGATGCATATCTGTATTCCCAGTTGTGAAATTCATAGATTAGGGCCTAATGAATTTATATAAATTGACTGATTTAATTAGATGAACTGTATCTCAGTAAAATCTTTGAAATTGTTGTATGTTGCGTTTATATTTTTGTTCAGCATATACACTATATATACGAAAGTATATGGACACCCCTTCAAATTAGTGGATTTTGCTATTTCAGCCACACCCGTTGCTGACAGGTGTATAAAATCGAGCACACAGCCATGCAATCTCCATAGACAAACATTGGCAGTAAAATGGCCTTACTGAAGAGCTCAGTGAATTTCAACGTGGCACTATCATAGGATGCCACCTTTCCAACAAGTCAGTTCGTCAAATTTCTGCCCTGCTAGAGCTGTCCTGGTCAACTGTAAGTGCTGTTATTGTGAAGTGGAAACGTCTAGAAGCAACAACGGCTCAGCCGTGAAATGGTAAACCACACAAGCTCACAGAACGGGACCGCCGAGTGCTGAAGTGCTAAAATCATCTGTCCTTGGTTGCAACACTCACTACCGAATTCCAAACTGCCTCTGGAAGCAACGTCAAGGGTTTCCATGGCCGAGCAGCCGCACACAAGCCTAAGATCACCATGCGCAATGCAAAAAGCATCTGCTGGAGTGATGTAAAGCTCGCCGCCATTGGACTCTGGAGTGATGAATCACGCTTCACCATCTGGCATTCCGACGGACGAATCTGGGTTTGGCGAATGCCAGGAGAACCCTACCTGCTCCAATGCATAGTGCCAACTGTAAAGTTTGGTTGAGGAGGAATAATGGTCTGGCTAG